GCCACCTTGGTTACAGACAGGAAAAGAAGTTGTTGGTTTTTTCAAATTCTTTATTTCTACTACTTTGTATTTCCCAAAACCACTCTATTCCCCCACTCCGACTAACAAATATTCCCAAACATTACAAAATTCTTTCCAAACACTAGCTAATTTAGCCTCATAATGTCTTCATAAGATAGAGAAACAGTGTTTTATTAGATACCACCTACACACGAACATAAGGAGGCCAATTTTTAGTAACGTTGAAGGGCTAAACACTTACAAATATTCAACATCTAAATCCTATTTAATCTCCTAAATAAGAACTAAGAAGTCTTTTGTAGAGTTTGTAGAGCTTTGGCAAGCTGCCTAAAAGCACAGCTAGATGCCCCATGAGATTTTCAAAAGCGACAGAATACATAACTCTCCATGGAATTAACGGTGAGGTCCTGACTCCCACTCTTACTGTAACCAGTATAGGTCCAAAAAAAGTTAGCACTCTAATTTATACAGCTCTACTAAATACTGTTGAAATTATATCATTTGTTTACTTAGGGAGAAACAACTGGAAAGCCGTGACAGACTGAAAGCTGGTAGCACAATGAATCAGATCTGGCTTCACATACTGAACCCAACAGATGCAGATAAGGGAAAATACACCCTGGAGTTATTTGATGGGAACAACTCTCGCAAACTGTCAACTGACTTGTCTGGACAAGGTAAGCTGAGTCAAACAATACCATCATAGGAATGAGATATGCCTGAGCTGCTTTCCAAGATTCCTTCCAACCATGGGCAGTGATTCCTCCCTTCTTTACTTGAGCTGGAGCCACAGTTCCATGACAGCTCACTATAAAATTGGGTTAAGGACAGTCAAGTGCCCACAGAAGTCAAAGGAAACATAGGGATGGGAGAAATGTGCAGCAGAAAGGATTGAAGCCTTTAGGGAACCTTGCTGCCATAGCATAAGGCACTCCTGGGGAAAGCGTAAGTGAGAGGGCAGCTGCTCCTGGGATGTATCAGATTCCTCCATAGGCCAACACAGCTTACAGTGGCATCTTGGAAAAGAGAATGTGGCTTCAGGTTTACAAAGACTTTTCCAAACTGTTCAAAATTGGGAGGTTTTTTCCTCCTCTAGACTTCTTTTTGGAAAGAGAATACTAGACCCCACTTAATTTCAGTAGTATATAAATAGATTCATCTCTCCTTAAGACAGCTACGGATACCATCTAGATGATAACTATACATATCTGTGTGCAAATACCTGCAATTCCAACACTGATGCATTATGTTAAATATACTAAGTCGAATGAAATAAACAGCAAAAAAAAGCTGAGCACAGAAGGCTGAAGTAAGTTCCTGTTTTCACAGCTAAATCTATTTTGATTGTCATATCCTGTATTAAGAATACAATGCCTAATAAATAAAACCACTAACATTTTATATCTCTCACTTTCAGGGAAGCAGCAGTAGCAGAAAAGCGTAAGTAAATTAACTTCTTTCCTCCTGGGAAACAAAGCCAAGTGGTACACTGATAAGTAAAACTAAAAGGTCGTATTTGTTCATTCCCAGATCGTGCCAGAGTTGTTCAAGGACTGCCTGACGTTGCCACCATCATGGAGGACAAGGTAATATTGAGTAACCGCTCGTATAATTGGCCCTTGCACAGACACAGAAGAATAACTGATGGGGAGAAAACGACTTGTTTTCCCCTCCCACATGTTCCCAGGAGCTTTTCTGAGCTACTGCAATTGGCAAAGGTGTAAAGCGGTACCCTCCACAATACCTGTATCAGCCCCCTGTATTGTTGATGGTGCTTCCAAACATGCACGTGCTGCAGCACATATAGGTGCTCTTTGTGGCACAGAATCTCTCTTTTGCCCATTTCAGATATTACTGCATCCTAGGTCTGTTTCACAGCCAGATCCTTTCTGTTGTCTTCCTATTTCATAGGATTAGACTAAGGCCTTTAAGTGCTAGACCTGATTTCCCCATCATATAACTTACTGAGTACATTTCTGAGTCACCCTTTATTGGTACACAGGCAGAATAAAAATCCTGTAAAGTAATTGCAAATTCACCATGTGCCTATTTAAGTGTCACTTTACACTGTAAGAAAGCTATAAAAAGACAGTAGCACAAATATGAGTCAGGCCTAGTGAAGTCAGTCAGGTTAATGCTGTTTATACTGGAGGATATCAGGAAAAGGAATGGATCAGGAAAAGGAGTGGACAGGCCTGGAATCTTACCTGTTGAAAATCTAAGAGAATTATTTTTATTTTTCTTAATTTCTCATCAACTTAATTTCCTTGCTTATTTATATCTTTATAATCTATTTCTGCTATCTGTTTTACAATAGACCCTGTGTTTAACTTGCTGTATATCTGGAGATCCTTACCCAGAAATCACTTGGTTCAAAAATGAGAAGGTTATCGTCTTTAAAGATCGTTACAAAATGGATGTGAAGGGGTCAGTTGTCACAATTACCATAGAGAAAGTCTGCAATGAAGACACAGGAAAATACAGCATCTATGTCAAGAATAAGTATGGTTCTGAAACTGGGCAGGTTACTATCAGTGTCTATAAACATGGAGAGATACCAATAGGAGTGGAAGAAGAGTAAGTCCCAGGTGGGATTATAATGAAAAAGCCTAAATTAATTAGTCAATTATGTCTCATTGTATTTAAAAGGAATTTAACTCCTTCAGATTCCTTATAGTGTCTCTGCTTTAAAATTCAGGCTCATGTCTCTATTTTTATTTTAGTAATATTTTAGTATTTTTATTTTGGTAGTTGTTAGAAAACAATTCTCGTGTGTGTGTGTGTGTGTGTGTGTGTGTGTGTGCACGCATGCGCATGCATGTGTACACATGCATGTTCACCTTACAGAGAAACTCTTTCCTAGTAAATCTGTGTGGGAAATACCAGAGGATTCACATATGAGAACCAGGTTTTCAGTGGAGGTTTTTTTGTAGTAGGTCACTATGTGTTACTGATTATCTTGTAGCTGACATATGCTTGTGTGTGTGTGTTATTAAACTTACACCCTTGGTGACACCTCAGCACTGTTGTGAAGTGCATCCATCTTGAAATCGGGGATGGGGGAAGTTAGGAATTTTCCTAAGTACCGTGCTGAATCACAGCCTTGAAGTATGGACCTTTACAAACCTAAGCCACATGGGAAGAAAACAAGGCAGTGACACTTTCAAAGCTTGGCCCTTTACAGAGGAACAAATTCAGTGTCTATATATACTGACATGCAGTAATACATTTACACAAAAGGGTTGAGTGAATGTTTACAGAGGTGGACCCAGATCCTTCCGTCCTACTGAACAGCTATTTTCCTTAGCATTGAAGAAGTTTTTAGGTTTACTAGTTATGTTACATTATTTTGGACGTAGAAAAAAGTGTGGCCTCTCAACTTCTACCACTAACACCGTGTCAGTGTGAGATAAAAAAGTGATTGTATTTCTAATACTGCCATCCAGCTAAATGCATTTATTCAGCAAAATAGCATCTCGCCTTACTCCACAAACTAGTATAAACTGTCCTCACAGTAGCCATATTTTTCCTGGTTATTTGAGGGACACTGCTGTTCCAGTGTCAACATAAATGAGCACAGCAATCCTGTACAGGATTGACAATCATTTGACCAAAGGCAGTTACATTTCAGACATCACTTAAAATTAAATTAAATGCATGTAATTCATATTATTAAATTTAATAATGTTAAAAAGTGAGAGCTTAGATAACTGTCTAGATTCATCTTACAGTGAATGAAGAAAAGCAGGCCCTTCTGATGGCATCATTGACATTACTCCATGGTAAAACAGATGAATCATGTCCTAGAATAACTCCAATATAAACATGTACCTTTATAGCCATGTGCGTTACACCCCACACATAAATACGGCCTTATTCATTATCAGTACCTCATCCTTGCTACTCAGGTATTAGCATATGCAAATGTAATTACAAAACTGGCTTTTTGTGTGTGGATTTTCTTTAAAATTACATAGTGCAAAAAAAAAGTTGTGAATTTATAAGAAAAAGTTCAGCACTGGTTTTCTATTTAAATAGAAGAATTACTGACCAGTATGGAGTGATAAAAGTTAACTTAGAAAGGTCACCTACCCCTGGGATACAGGCTCTATTTGAATTAAGCAATATAACTGCAAGACACATAATCTAATGAATGTCTTCCAAAATCAACAGTCGTGCTTGCACGGACAGCAAGGAGTATCACTCAACAGCTATAACGAGTGAGGAATTCTTGATGCAGATGGTGAGAAGAAAAATAATACATCCCATTTCCTTGTTTCATTTCAGTCTCCAAGCAATGTTGCATGCTTTATATTACCTTTAATCGTCTACGTATGCAGTGATTATCAAAAAAAACCAAAACAACAAACTGAATTTAATACAGATTTAGATGCACATTACTGACATCTACTGGATAAAGTCATAACTGACTCTCCCACTCCAACGCAACTTTCCCTGTCCTCAAGCAATTGGAGGCCCACAATTTTGGAAGAAATCGCTGCGGATTTTATTCCCACCATTTAAGGTCCAAGTCCCCATAGTAGATAATATTGTGATAATTGGGAAGTTCCTGCTGTACGACAGTAATTATCTTGCATGTCATTTTATGTGAAGAATTCTATCCAAAACACAGAAAATTTATTAAACATAGAAGATGTGAACAAAAAGGAAAAAAATTAATCCATGCAACTCTTTACAACAATTATGAATAATTACCTGAGTTCAGTAACCCACAATAAACATAACATCCCAAACCAGCTGGTCAAGGTAAGACTTTCTACAAAGCAGAACGAACTAGAGGTTATGATCATTAAGAACAAATAAATGATTAATAATTGTTACTTCACAGTTAATAATTAGCCAGTCATCTCACAATTTGGGCTGGCCTTTCCCTTTCCATAAATAGCATCTGAATGACCAGGGACAGCCCTCACTTTCCTGCTAGCATCACTGCCCTAAACAGCATTGTAACATCCATAATGGCATTCAATGGAACCTGGCAGGTCTATGCTCAAGAGAACTATGAAGAGTTTCTGAAAGCTCTTGGTAAGTGTCTGGTTACTTTTGAAATCATTTGCTCTGATTGCAACACACATTTTGCATCACATCTTTTATTACTGTATTTCTACGTTTTTTTTCTTTTGTTTGTAAGACAAACTACCCCCTGCCAGGTAAGTCTGCTATGTCTAATTCGGAAACAAAAAGCCAAAAATCGTAGCAATTGATGTAGAAAGGTTACGGATAACCCCCAAATCCCTATCTTAACGTAAGGTGAGACCCTCATGAAAGAAGAGGTATATCAGAAATTAACACATAACTTTATAAATACATTTAACTAGAAACATGTTGTCAATGACATATACAGATTTCCAATGTGCTATTAGTAGTGCAGGCACTTTCTACAGCACTAGTGATTAATATATGTTATACCTGTTTAGTAATCTGTAAGGAAAAGACTTAGCAGGTGCCTACATTAATAAAAATGCATTTACCCTCTTCACAATCATGGCAAAACATTCACATTGAGATTTTTAAACGTATGTAAGAGATGTTCAGTAGAATAAAACTCAGTTACAGTTGAAAAGCCTCATCCTACAGGATGATGCCCAAACTAATCCCTCTGCTGCTAAAGATGATGCTCTCAAATCATGCGAGACACCCTGATAAGGCAGTTTGAGGCTACTTGCACTGTTGCAGCTCTGACTGGACAGATAACCCCCGCCCCAATCTCCCTGGGAAGAGGTGAGGGAAACAAAATAATACACACATGGTTTTCTTCATGAAGAAATGTTATCACATGGCAAGCTGTTACTGAAAGAAACAATACATATTCTGACACAAGATTAACAAATATAGTATCAAAATCTATACAGGCTAGATGGAATGCAACAGTATGCCCATAGAGAAGTGAGGAATCCAAAACAGAATTTGTCTTTCAACTTGGACATCACATTCTATTACTGGTTTGTATCTTTTGCACCTTTATCAGAAAAGAGAATTTGTTATTTCATATCAACACGCTATTTCATAATACAAGAAGTCCTTTTCTGACTTTTTTACAGCATTGTCAGATGACATTATCAAAGCCGCCAAAGATATTAAGCCTATTGTTGAAATACAACAAAAAGGAGATGACTTTGTTGTGACATCAAAAACACCCAAGAAATCTGTAACTAACACATTTACGCTTGGAAAAGAGGCTGACATTACCACTATGGATGGCAGAAAGATAAAGGTACTCTATTTCACGAATGGGTGCATCTCTTTATTCATCCTTATACTTCAGTTTCTGTGTAGGAGTGAAAATTGTTTGTACCATTGCCATTAACATACATTTCTATCACTTCAACAAACAGAAATGTTTCTTCTAAAACTCTTAGTAAAATGCTGCGGTCTCCAGTTCAAATTAGCAGATGTGATGAAGCATCAGTAGCATTTATTATTTCCTCTTTATGTAGTCCCCTACTTATTCTAATTAAATTCCAAAACCTAAAATTTTTTATCAATTTTAAATCTGCTTCAACAGTGTACTGTGAACATGGTAAACGGGAAGCTTGTGTGCAAATCAGATAAATTCTCTCATGAGCAAGAAATTAAAGGAAGTGAAATGGTGGAGGTAAGTGTTAGAAAATACTGGCATATTAAAAAAGCCGAAGGAAAAAAAATGTTCTGAGTTGATCAGCTCTTAGTGTAGGCTCAATACCTTAAACGAATCCTGGCCCCAAAATTACTGCATTACATGCAGAATTCCTTACAGGTGCTTAAATCTGCAGACACAGAATTTTAGTATTTCAAAATAACCACAATGGAAAATATTATTAGTATCCTTTATTATTCCTGTTTCTTATTAAAACCAATTGCCTTAGATGACTCTCCCATATATTTAATGCATCCTGCTCAACAAATCTTCCTATTAATTACTACTCTGGTGTCAATTCTGGGCACTGAAGTGTGCATGGCTTTGGCTGCTGAGCACGTTGCAGGAAGACTCCTTATAAATTCCTCTAGAACACTATAGCAGTGTTTCCACCCTTAGATTTATCTACAGCATTGGCTCTGAAAAGAAAGTAAAGGCTGAGTCAAACCTGAAAATTTACAATAGACTTGTTCCACCTACAATTCTTCAAAGTTCTTTAGTTAGTTCTTTAGTTAGTTCTAAATTGTTCAGTGCTGACAAAGAGCTTTGCTCTATAAACTCATTAGGCTTCTAAGAAGTGTCCACTTGGGTAAAGACTACTACAAGAATGACAGCTAACTAACACTAAAGTTATATGTTCTGGACATAAAATCTCCTAAGATAATTTTGAGTTATCTCAAACTACAGAAAATTCTAGCCACTAAGCTATAAATAGATTTCCTAAAGTCTAAATGGAAAACAAGTTATGCATATTTGTTTTCTACAGACCATGACTTATTCTGGAGTAACACTTGTCAGAAGAAGCAAGAGAATTTAAAGACAGACCTTATTTGTGACATCTTTACATACCTAAAATAAAGTGCAGTTTCCACAAGGTGTGATCTTTGTTATCTGAAAAAACAGTACAGAAAATAATTATGATTTCTACTCCTCTTTCACACACACATTACTTCCCATTATGACAAGACTGTGTTCTCCCTGAGCACATTTACAGATCCCTTCTACACTTAAAGTCAGAGAAATCTGCCTCCCAGACAAACAAACCTAGACATCAACTGGAACACTATGATTTATCATAATAATCCTTGGAGCGGGCAAAAGCTGATACAAATGCTTCTTGATTTCTTACATACTTTGTGAGCATATTCAGCTTTAGTTCCTTTGTCTAATAAAGTTTAGTCTTCTACTAAAACCCTTTCTCTATAATCTAACCAGCAAAGAACAATTAGACATTTGTTTAGCTGATCTGCACCACGTGTCTGTAACAGGAATAGAAACTGTAGTATTTTAAAAGCTATGAAGTATTTAACAGTCATAAACAATTACAAAGTATCACAGGAATGACTGCTCTTAAACTGAAGTACACAAGAGTACAATTAAACAAAAATGAGGCACTACAAGAGCAACTACAGTTTGCAACATACTCCCAATGTCTGCTTGTCACAGTTCAAGTTTGCAAGCTTGAGTAAACTAGACCACTTATGTTCAGATTATGTGTCTCTACCGAAGTATAAAATGTCCAGGATCCACGCCTATAACGATTTCTCTATTCACTGATTAGATCCTACTATTGTATTAGCAGTCCTATTTCATACTTAAGCCACCGCAGATTTGTTAGCATTGGTCTTGGGTGTGTGAGACCTCCATAAAAAAAAGATGCTGGACAAGTTATGCCATTTAAAATCCTCATGGGGACATTTTATTCCAATGAAGAGTGCTGAGTCTACATCTTCCTATGCCAGGAGATGAGCAGTTTGTGAGGGGGGAGGTTGTGTTTTACTTAATAACACTTGCAACATGATATAAGCAATCTGGGAAGTGTATTCTTATTCTGGGATAAGGCTGTCTTCATGAGCAGTTTTACTGGCATAACCCTGCAAGTATCATTGTGTTCATTTTGTTTCCTGGGCAGTTCTAATGCTACATATACTTTTGCAGACTAAATTAAATTCCATGTGAGTTACACATAAATAAGATCAACGGAACAGAAATCAAGACACTGATAAAACTCAGGGAGGAAGCTGCTTTAAAGCATCCGTACTGCAAAAAGCCATATAAGAGCTTGAAACACTTCTGTTTGGAAGTTGCTGGGTAACTGCTGCTAACTACACAGTGAAACACTACAAAACAGAGCGCAGTTTTCCAACAGTAAATTTGCAGAACACTGTAAGTCTTCAATGACCAAATGACATATCACTACGTTGTAGGATACAATCTAAACTAATGCAGAGATCATTCATTGCTCTGAACACTACACTTTTAAAGCCTGCTACAAAACAATTATTTGCTTTCATACATTATGATGTAAAATGGGAATGATGTTAAAGCAAAATGCTTTTAAAAGAAACATGAAGGTCTTATTTTGGTTCAATAACTACCCAAATATTCCCAGCTCACTTCACACAATCCGCCTGGAAAACTTGCTTCTTCCCTATTCAACCCCTTGTCAAAATTCAAGCTCAATACATGACAACTGCTATATAAAGGCAGTTTAAATTACAGACTGCAAATACTACATACTAAAACCACACTAATCCTATATAGAACTTAAAGTGATGCTAAACCATCTTAATTTGAAAGCACTAAAAATTCTTAAAAGAATACTTCACCTTTCTTACTTCACAACTGTGGTGATTCAGTAGTTCCAACAAGCGTGCCAATCTTTTCAATCCAATGGCAATGTTCTTCTGCCACTGGACATCTCAGATTCAGGTGAAATATTCAGTGCAGTTCCTCACGTAAAGTCAAAACCTGAATGATTTTGATCAGACTGCAAACCTTGCCCCATTGCCCAAAGTAATCCATCATTTCTGGGTAGCAAACTCTTACAGGTTCGGATGATAGCACTGATTCGCAAAACTAGGTGAATTTTTCTGCAAAGAACCTCATGAGAGTATTTATAATCTCATTTGGATCTTATTCAAAACTGTTCATTTCCAATTTGAAAAGCTCTGAAAGGGTAATCCTGGCAGCAACTATTTCTACCCATCACTAAACTCCACTCTTCATCGATTCCATTGTTTTTCAGAATGTCTACAGAAGGAATTTTTTCTGCTCAGTGTCATGCACTCCTACCATAATTTCAGTCTCTAATGTGCTTTCTTGGCTTGGTTTTCATGTTCTTTTGATGACTTGTATAAGCAGATCTGTGTATATATTGCACGAGGTAACTCAACCTGCTGCCAGCATACTTAGTACAGAATAATGTTAACTGTAAATATTAAATGCAGAAAACATTGTCAGAGACCCCCATCTCTTTTCTGCAGTCCTGAACACTGACCACTGAGCATAAAACCACCATCATTTTCCTTTTTTCAGAAGAGCAGCATATGTAGCTGACATACACCTCCTGTATCAAGTCATCGAACTGCATCTTGTCATTCAAAACCTGTAGAAATGCCAGGCAATTCTGAGTGTGAGGTTGCCAGGATATGAAACAGCAGTGTCCACCCACCAGAGTTTTCATTCATATTCAGCCATTAAGAAGTACACTAGTGACAGACATCAGGACTGCATAGACTTTCTCTCCCATCCGCAGTTCACTGAAAATTCCTCATGCCAGCAAAGACGCAGACACGCTGCTTTATTGAACCTTTCATCAAATCCCCTGTGATCGTTCAGTCACAGATCTGCCACGTATCTGCTGGCAAGTCACACATTAAGGTGTTAAGAAATAATCTCTCTAGTCGCCTACTTAATTGTTCTCATCACATCTGCTGGCTTTATTAAAAAAGGTCCGGTCCTTTGCAAATAGCACTGCTCTACCACTGTCCGATGAAAACTCCTGGTGATGTGCGGAAACAGACTCCACAATCTGTAAGACTGTAAAGTCGGTATGTTTATTCAGCGCTGGGCAGCATGGGGGGTAGTCCCACCGAAGTCGTGCGCACCTCCACGCGGCAGCTTGCCCTGTTTATATGTAGCAAAGTGTAACATATACACAAAGTTTCCCAGTACGCCTATACATAGGCATAACCTGTCCCTGCTTCGTATTAAAATTAGTTTCAAGAGGTCATTTCCATAAATCCCTCCCGACTGTGCATGCTCAGTGATTTTGAGTCGGTGGTCTTCAGGGGTGGTTTACTTCATCCACTCCTCTTCTTCACCTTGTCCTTTTGGTGAACTCCAGCTTCTACCCCCCTTATTCCACTGTCAAACAACACAGCCGGTACCAACCGGCTCCCCATCCTTGGCTATCCTCATATCGACAAAGTGCTGGTCGCTTTGTTCTCCTACAGGCCTTCCAAGGCCTGTAACAAAGATGGGCCATTTCCTACTCATCTCTCCTCTTCCACATTCCCTACAGTGTTAGGTTTTTATCTATAGTTTACTCCATATGATTAGTAAGTTAACCTAAAACACAATGCTAGCAATTAAAGATGGATCTACAGTTGGCTTGACAAAGGTCCTTTTGTTAACCCTTTTGCGTCCCTTCACTGCGGCACAACGCTGTCGGCAACGGGGGTCACAGAACAGCGATCCCCCAAGCCACAGGAAAAGGCCTCGCGCAGGCAGCCCGACACCACAACCTGCTGCTGTGCCAGTTGGTTATGCCGGCCGACCTCAGAGGAGCGAGCCTTGGCGCCAAGAGGTAACTGCGTGAGGCAGGAGGCACCCCCTCTCCTCACAGCGAGAGCCTGGCCTCCATCTTGCCCCCGCGAGGCGCACAACTCGCGCGCGCTTCTCCCTCTTTCGGCGGGAAAAGCGAGC